TCCAAATAAATACTTAGATCATGCAGTGTTATGTTCTTCTGTATCAGTGCATGAAAGGATGTTTTGCTTTCCTGATTTTTGCAGCACAATTCTTCAGTTACTCAAGAAGCATTTTGTCACTTAGATCAAGGGATTTTAATAGCTCCCCTACTTTGATAGTTGAAATCATTAGTTTAAGCTGGGAAGGAAACTATAAATGACAACTAAAGAAAACTAACTCAACTCTCAGTTGACTTGCATTCATTATGTGTAGTTTGTTATAGTCCACGTTTTCTTCTAGGAAAACTAAAAGAAAAAGGATGAAAAGATACACAGTGAATTACCTTAATTTCTTGCAGCCTGTAGGGGAGTCTTCCTTCTGCTCTAAGTCCTTTCAACTTTGGCAATGAGCCTGTTGTAATTTGAAATAGGACACAGATGAGCACAACAAACTGCAGGAAAGAAGGGATTAGAAGAGCATTACAGATTTCTGTGGTGTAATTTTAGCCTCATTGAATTCAAATTGTTCTTAATATGAAAATGTGTATATAAGCGATAGCGAAGGCAACAGAATCAATAGCTAAGTTTCCTCTACAATAAAATCTCTGGCTGGAAGAACAGAGAGGGAAAATGAATACATTAGCTGCTTTTATTGGTAGATCTATACATAACATAGGCAAAAGCAGTAAAAAATGGAAATAGATTCTGAAAAGTTGAGAAATATGATGAAAAAGAGTAGGCAACTCAGAATGAACAATATAATCATTACAATTAAGGGGGGGGAAAAACGGTAAAAGGAGGGAGGCAGGGAGGAAAGCTCTCTAAAATTAGCAGCAAGGGGAGAGTTGCATTCTTTAAAGACACAAGGCAAGCCAGAGCAAAAGGTTATATACCATAAATGATGTCTGATAACATAGACTAGTACTACTTTAAAAATATAAATAATTAGAAGTCAGAAGGTAGCCTCTGCAATAGAGATAGGCATTCTGTCACTGCTGACAAGTTAACTTGAGGCTTTTGTGCACAGATGCAGGCAACATCTGCATAAAAGTCCTCTAATGGATCACAAGCATCACAATCAAGGCAATGGGCTGCTTTTGCACATAGGCTGAAACCTGGGTGTAGCTTGTATGTGGGCTGGTCACCCTTGCACTCTGTGGTACAAAACCACAGCGACTGAAAATCCTCCAGCGACAGGTAAGGCACTGGCAATTCGTTGGGGAAGCAGGCAGGGGGGAACATATGGATGGGAAGAGAAGTCAAAAGTATCTCAGCTTATCACTGTACTAAGACCAGCAGAAAGCCTGCCACAGCTCTAGTGCCAGATGAGCACCACTCTAGCACAAATCCACAACTCACAGGCCAGAGACACTGCCAGAGAATAGAGAGATAGGAAGAAAAGGTAAGGACAGGAGGAAAAGGATAAGATGATAAACATTCATAGTCACATTATGTAAATTGTCAGTTAAAGCATCTGGAGCCAGCAAACCAAGTTAAGTTGTTTTAAATCTTTAGAATACAGCTTAGTGGTCTTTTATTACAAAACATTCTGGAAAATAAGCTAATGATACCTTATTGGTCCATTAGAATCAAACTGACTGAATGTAGGTAAGGACTTATCATTGAAATGCACTGGTTGCCAAGACTACTCAGATTAATTTATTCTGTTCCCAAAAAATTGAACCATGTCATCATTTTCTCACTATGTTATGGTATTTACCTATTATTGGTATGTAAGTTTTCCTTTTAGCTTATTGCTACACGTAAATTTTGATCTTCACAGGTACCCAAGACATAACATTTCCAAAAGCAACACAGCTGCAGTATGGGTTTTCAAAGCATAAGCTCATTTTAGTGAAGAAGGCTCCAAGAATTGATGCTGTCAAAAGGGTTAATTAGGATTAAAGAAGAATGAAACTTTGTCCTTGACTCTGTTACTACAGACAGTATAATTTGCTTGTTGTTTGCAAATTGTTTTCCAACACAATTCTGTATTGACCCAGCAAGTCCTGCAAGGCATGAATCCACCCACAACATAGACAATTAGCAGACTTGTTAAAAATCCCAAAGCATTTATTTGTAAGTTTAACATATTACAGTATCTACTATTCAGAGTCATGTACACAATAAGGCTGTGATAACTGTCTTAAGCATGTTGCCAGAGCTCTAATTCAGCTTTACCTGAAAGTCTCCAAATCTTTCTTAAGGGAACGTTCCCAGTCTTCAAAGGAAGTAGCAAAAACAACTTGGACAGAAACAAGATTAACAAAGATTTCTAACTTCTGTATTTGGTCAAGGTCCAAACTGACAAAGCTGCAGAGTATTTACAGAGCAAACAACAATTATAGTAAGAACATTTAAGTGGTACTAAGAATTTACAGTCTATTGCTTGTAGTTATGACCAGCATAGCTGTACACAGCTGACAGTCAATACCTTTAAGAAAAATCAGCACATCAAACATACTGTGAAAGCTAGGAAAACTTCCTTCTATAACCCCCAACAGAAAGTACTATTAACTCCACAGTTGTACACAAGATCACCCTAAAGAAACTTACTCAATTTCACAGCCTTATATTGCAAATCAAAAAAAATTTAATAATGTCAGTTACAATCGCTATACAGAGATTTCTGTTCTGGATTTCAGTAGTCACTTGACTCAGGAAGAATAAGAGGCTTAAATTCAACACCACAAAACATTTAGCAATGAGATCAGGAGTTAAAATATATCAAAAGCCAACTCAATCAGCTGTTGCACTACAGAATGCAACCCTCCCTCCCAAAAAACTACAACAGCCCCGAAGACACGTCACCTCCTTAATCTTGTATTTCATACTAACTCTTGTATTCCTACTAATTTATTTCACCGTTCCATTTAGTAGAACACCTCTGTGTGAATATGGCCATAATGCAACAATGTTCAGAAGCCAGTCACTGCATGCTCTCTACTATCCTAGACTGCTTAAAAGCTCACTTACCACATTTTAAGAGACTTCAGAATATGCATCTAACAGCAGCTTCCATTCTCTTACACTTTATAGGAAATTGTTTCAAGCTGGAGTTACACCTACACTTCACCTTTCTGCAAGATAAGGCAAGGGAGGAGCTTAACAGTGAACACTACCAGCACGCTAGAAGCCTGACAACTTAGCATTATTTATTTGACAGAACATGATCAGTGTTCTGCTGGGTCTTCTGGTGACATACAAAGAGTAGGAGAAAAATCATCATCATTGGCACAACTAGAGTGGGACTAAATCGAAAAGAGATATAACCCAATAGTAGATTGGCTTGTCCTTTGAGAACCAGAAACAGGTTGGCGTTTCCTGCATGTTACGGGACACCTGTAGTTAACCCAGCACACCCTCAGTGGATACAGACTTCTGTGCTTCTTTTCAAAGGTTGAGTTTGTGACTGCATGAGGGGCTAAAAATAGGGGAAAATATTGCAGTAACAGGAATAACAATACAAGAGAACACAAAGAGAAAAGAGAGGACCTTGAACATTCATATCCCTGAACAAGAAACATTGTACTAAGAACTGATACTGAACATTGACATTTTCCTCTAGACTCTCCTCCAGTGGCATCAGAAAGACTGCAGAGAGAAGTCCTGAATCTGTAAGTTTGCTCTCTTAGAAAATACAGGAGTAGCCTAAGAGGAAAAGCTAAAGTGTTGAGAACTAGTACTAGTATGGGAAACAAATCCTCTAAAGGTGACCGAGCTAGAGAGCTCAGCTTTAGAAGGAGAGCACCACAACGCATTACATAACATCCAGCAGGAGGTAGCAGATGAGGACAAAATCTGTTCTTCCAAACCATAACAAAGTGTTTAAAGGGAGATACTAGATCAACTGAGGAACAACACCAAGTATTTGGTCATCTGTCCCTTTCTCTGTGCAGAGAGAAAGGGGGGGGGGGAAAAAAAAGCTAGCCTACATAGAATTGTGTGTCCACTCTTTAAGCCCCTTACCAAGATACTCAGAAAAAGATCCAGAACAATTTGCTCACTCAGCAAAAAAGTAGATGAAATTTGCAAAAAAAGGTAAGATGCTAAGAGTGCATCCTATATCTAAATCTTCTACAAGGCTGCAGGGATTACAGTACTCAGAGACCAGAGTCCAAACCATCTAGAACACTTTTTATAGGGCCTCATTTTGAATTAGGGCTTTAGTTCGCATGTTAGCGGAAGGGTGATATCAATAAACAGGCAGTGTTATGCACGCTCAGTGGAAATAATTTTTTTGCGGAAGAAGATATTCTCCAAATGATTACTTAACCAGTGGTACTTACAAGCTTCAGGCACCTAAGCATCCTTTTTGATTCAGATCATAGTTCCATTTGCTTGGGACATCTAATTGTACATTTTGGGCTAGCTTAACAAAAAAACAAAAATCAAACAAAAAACCTACAAATACAAATCACCGTAAGTACCAAAGAACAATTTACTCGCCCTGAAAACTGGTAGCTTGAGACAGACCACCATAATATTGCCAAGTATGATAGGGCACAGACTAACACCCTATTTGAAGTTTTACTAGTTTGTGGATTAGACTTCCTGCTGTGCTTATGTGACCTTCATAACTGCAAGTTTACTCACTTAACCACCAACTGAAAAGAAATACATTATTCCATTTTGCTAGAAGAGTGTTGATTTTAGGACTGACCAGAAGATTACCAGTACAGGAAACACTGTCCTGGCCTCACCTGTTCTAGTTAGGAACTTGAATCTGCAATGTCCCGTGACCCTATCTAGGTAACTGGTCTGGGCTGAAAAAAGGGCTGTTATCTCCAAACTGCTTCCTGACAAAAGATACAAAGAAAAAAAAGCAGGATTCTTGATAGATTAATTTCAGCAGCTTTTCTGCATCATTTCTGTCGCATAACTGTACAATTACTATTTTCTTCTAGAATCTGACTTTTCTCAGGAAAACTTAATTCACTGACGAAATAAAAGAATGTGTCTTTTTACAAGAGTGAGAGATAACACATATGCATGTGTTCAGGGGCTCTTTTAAAAAAAAATCCCTACAGAATACTGTACTTGGTCCTTGGCTGTGCTATCCGTTCTCACCTGATGCATCCCCCATCCTGAAAAAAAATGAGCTCACCTGAGAACATTCAGTGATTAAAGGACAGGATTAAGACACACTGATCCAAATTTTCATCAGTGGCCTTGATATAACACTGTGTAACCCTAGACAAAACAGGTTTCACTTCTTAAAAATTAGAGAAAATAACTGCTACTTCACAAAGAACTCTAGAAGCAAGTTTTTGTAAAGCGCTTTTGGGTTCCTCACGTGATAAATGTATTCATGTTGCATGAGACACCAAAACTAGGAAGTGACTTGAATTTTTTCTTTCTTTCCAAGTAAAATCAAATACGAAAATGAAATCACTAAATGAAAATCGCGTTTAGTTACAGTGGTAGGTACCATGCCACTCCTGAAATCAAAACTCCATTAGTACTACTGAGCAACACTAAATCTGGAGATCATTTATTTGATTTTGATTCCAATATAATTTGTTCCAAAACATACTTTGCTTAAGTCAAATCTACTTATCCAAAACACAATACAGGTTATATTTAGTTTTGTATTATTACTTTAAAAAAATTGTTATGAAACACTTTTGGCTTCAAGAAAAAACAGCCTGTGAATTCACTGACAACCTCAAATTATTAACTTCTTCAGTTTCCAAAGCCTTATTACCAGCTGTCTCAAACTCTTTCACAGATCAAGCCAAACCTATGCTTAAAGTTAATAATACAAAAGATATGAATCATGTTTTTATAAAAATGTAAAAAGCTAGTCAAAATTACATGGTTTTGTATTTAAGCTCTGAAGAATGGGGTATAGCAGCAGGAACTCAAGTATAACAAGAACTATCAACAATAAATACAAGAAATTAGTGCAAAGATTGCAATAGAAGGATCTCATGTGTACAATGAGAATATAAAGAGACATTCTTATTTGTACAAAAACTGTCTCAGCTCTGTATACAATCTTCTCTAGAAATACAACCACATATGATGAAACGCTTATCTGCAAATAATAGTTATTAAAAAGTGTGCTTTATTGGGTTTGTTCACTCTTCTCTTGGCAGGTCTATTTTGCAGGAGTTCTGTAAAGACAAATTTCCATAATTAGACATTTTTAACTCCTTATATATTAAGTTTCAGATTTAATTGATAAGAGGTGCAGCATACACAGTCCTAAACAGAAATTTTGCAGCTACTGACTGTTTTCTCTCTCCGAACAAAAATAGTAGATGGAGTTAGTGATTTTCACTTGAATGTGATTTTCACAGGAAGCATTATTACAACACTACATATTGTAATAAACAAATTTGCAATTAGCAAATTAATAAGTGTGCAACAATGTGGCAGATTTAAAAATAAAAACATGTTCATCACAAATATTAAAATAGCAGTTTACCTATAGCGGAGCATGAAATTGGCTGTGCATTGCTATTGCCTGTTGAAGTTTTTCCTCTTTGGCTCTTCTACAGTGGCAAAGCTAAAAGAAAAGACATAGGACCAGTGATTCCTGAAAAGAATTTTGTACTACATATATTGCAACTTCTCATTAATGATTTAGCTACTTTACAGGCTCTTTGAAAAGTAAAAGTCCTGTGAACCACCTCTCTTCCAAAATTCAAGCTGAGTAATTGTCTAAATTGATAACATCACTACGAAGAAATTGCTTACAAAAAGAAAAGAATCATTTCTTATGTTACGAAATGCATTTATTAAACATCTTTAAAGAAAAGCTACGCTACCAAGTTGCTCTTGTCAGACCATTATTAAGAAAAGCAGTTTATGAACCTGTTACCTATTTGGTGATAGCCATCAAGAGCATAATTACAGTTTAGAAAGTTTAATAAATTAAGGGTCAAAGTTGTATTATACAACATGCCATTCTCTATGGACTTCTTCCCAAATTTAAAAATGCGCTTGTGACTGTCTTCCTTATATTGTTACAAGGTAAAGAATATGGTTCACAAAAATACCTGTTAACAGAACAGACCTAGATTCTCATGCAGGAGACCCTGGTACTCCTGTGTTAAAAGTATATACTCTTTAGGAACATGGATTCCATTTTAAAGTGACTGAAGGCACTTATTGATATATTTTTCTTTTATTGAAGCTTGCTAAACCACTATTCTGAACCAAAAAACTGCTCAAGTCTGCTCAAGTCTTAAATTTATTTACTATATGCTGTATTTCTCTCAGATTAGAATGACTTGTTCATTACATACTGTTCTCTTTTCCATGAAACTACTGAGAAAGTCATCTATTTCTGTTTTGCCTTCCAAGAAGTCTTCTGCAAGAGTGTCAGATTCCTCTTCAGCTTCATGAGCAGCTACTTTCAGTCTGGCTTGCAAAGCACTTGGACTGCAACTCTAAGAAAATAAAAACACCTATTTAATATTAATCTGTCCATCAAAATCCATTTTTTCCCAAGAATAAGATAGATGACTATATAAACATGGGATATGTGGCTAGAGCATTATTATTATTAAATAATAATGACTAAATGGAGCATCATCCCTAAGAAACAGTGTAAACTGACAAAATAAAAATGATTCAGTCCAAGAAAACTGTTGCCAGTTGAGTTCTTGACCTCAACTTGATTCACAATCTTGTTCTCACAAGTGTATAAAGCTTTTCACCTTGATATTCTACACTGTTGAAAGCATCTAGCTCATAAATATGCCAGGTTGAGTGAGCGCTTTCTGAATGGAATTATTGTTTAAGTGCATTCAATAAATAGACTACTGAAATCCAATGTCAGTTATGAACCAGAAAAGTTTAAGGTGATAAAAGTTCCTTTTGGTTCAGCTTTTAAATAACCTTGAAATGATTCAGTCAATCCTAGTTTAGGTTTTCAAAAGTGAATGCTATTAATATGTAATCTCCCTCACTTAGTCCCTGGCTGGTATTATGGAAACACCTGGCATAGGTATTACGGAAAATAACGTCCATATATAACTCTGCAAAAACTTAACAGTATTTTTTTCCCTTATTAAGCAACAGTTTGGCAAAGAGAAAAATATTTTGCTAGTAGAAACACAATTTCGAACAAACTACTGCTTCTCATTGTCTTTACTCAGCAAACCTCAGAGCAGTTTACATTGGGCCTCTTATTTTATTGCATCTGAAGCAGTTAGGAAAAACAGAAAAAAATTGTTCCCCTAAAAGTCCAACTACAGATTTGGGTTTGGTTGTATACTTAACGCATTAAACAGCAAGGAGTAATTTTATATCAAATTACGACAAGCTAGTAGATTAGGACTCTAGCCCAGAAAAGACAAAGACTAATACCTAAAAAATCTTGAATAGCATAGTAAAAAAAGGGATTAAATGTTCACTGCATCTTTCACTACAAAAACTAGAGATAATCACCTGATGTTTGCAGGTGGCAGACTCAAACAAGATAAAGTGGTTCATCCACAGTATGTAGCTAAACTAAATAACTCTTTACCACAAGCTATTATACATATAGGAAATAAACATGATCGAAAGGGAGACTAAAAGACTCTTCCTAGAAGGGAACTTGTTGAAAAGAATCCAAGGAGAGCTATGCAAGACACTACTGCTGACTCCAGAAGTAGATGGGCTGCTAATCTGGTCCACTATACTCAGTCTTATATGCTTTTATAAACTCATACCTTTATTTCATTATTTTGCCTCCACTATGTTGGGGCAATTAGACAGAACACTATCCATTTTTTCAGCAGGCGTCTGTACAGAGCCGTAAGTGCAGCCTTAAGGTATTTATATATAATGTTTTAGATGCTTGCACCTCCCCTCATATACCCCATGAGAAATATTTGGCTTGCCTACTGTAAAGTTGTAACACAACCAGAAAAATTCTGTTGATTTAATCAGCGCTCTCGTGTAAAATGAGGAAAGTTTGCTCTCATAAAAGACAACTAAAATACATCCACACTACAAGGCAAAAGACTTGCTCGGAATTTTGAAGGAGAGATACGAGGAGACCGCTACAAAATAAGCATCTCAAACATTAAGATACAGCATATGTGGGGAAAAAAGGGCACAGATATCCAGCTGCAACTCCAGCTCTCAGCCTCCTAACCATTAGATTTAATCGGCAAATCAGACTTTGAAAAAAGAAAAGGTAACTTAACAGTGGGGTGTTTTGTCCTATTCCTCAGGAGTTTCTAACAGAAGTAGAAAGTTTCTCAATGCCAAGTGACTATCTTTGTCCACTTCAAGGCCATTACACAGAAAGAAGACGTTAGCAGTCAGTCTGTCCTGATTTTCCGGTGAGAAAGCATTTAATTCATTTAGCTCACTAATGAGGTCAGGAGAGTTTGCTATCCTATAGTTTACCTACTTGTGATTTCACATTCTGTTGCATTTTGAAATTCAGATACTATGCACGCTGTCTTCATAGACTGTTGTACTCTTAGATAAAAGTCTCACAAACAATAAAACAATTTCTGCACTGAAGAAGTTGCATCTTTTAATGCATACACTAAGAAATTACTCTCTCCTTTCCCAAGTTACTTTCTGAAGTGACAACTTTCCCCTACCTGGGCTTTCGAATGTGCAAAGCTTGACAGCACAGGTACTGGCATACCTTGCGAATCACAGAATTTAGGGTTGTACAGCAATGGTTTTAACCATTTTAATCACGTACAGTTTAAAAAAAATCCTTATGTTAAATGGGTATATTAATTTAACAAGGCTTTTATTAAAAATAATGTTGTTCTTAAACCTGTTTGCCATAAGATTAAACCTAAGAAGAGATCAAAAGGCTCATTCATCATGTCACTTCTTCCAACTTTGTTTCTGCAGTACCATAAAAAAAAAACAGCAGTGCAGTTTAAACAGTTTTCAGACTAGTTAGCACTTTACTCTGTTTTATTTAGTACTTGATGTGACTGAATATCACTATTTCATAGAAGTAGAGTTCAACCAGAAGAGTATTCTTCATGGATAAAGGCATAAGTCAAAATTTCAGCTTTAATCAAGTATTCTTAAAAGATTATATGAAATAGAGATTATATACCTCACTAAGTTCATGCTGTCTTTGCATCTTTTTCTCAAAGGCTGCTTTCATCTGTGTGAGTTGCTCATACTGGAAGTAAAAAGAAAGAATATTTTTTCCCCCCCCGAAAATACAGAACACTGCAACTACTTTTTTCAGAAAAGTTTTCATTGTCCACTTACTTTATCCAACACTGCCTGTCTTTTTGCCTCTAAACTAGGCTCCAACAATAAGTTTTTTTCTGTAAAATAAAACCGCTATTATTATTTTTTAAGGATTCAGTTCCTGGAACACAGCCAGAGATGCTAATGTTTTGACATCTTACTTGCCAGCTCTTCAATGCTTTTCACTAACTCATCTCTATCAGTAATGACTTGCTTCAGCTGTGGTAGATTCACAAACTGTTCCAGTAACACTTCCTCTTGCTCATTCATATTGGTCAGCTGCGATATACTAGATTTGAACAGAGAGAAAGCAGAGTTAAAGCTAACAGCAAACATTACTCATTTTTGCCAAAATTTGGCAGTCTGAGGTATTCACTTGTAAATTTCGATTATGTGTACTACTATCTGCAGCACCGAGCTTAAAAACCAGGGTGTGAAAGGGTCTCATTTCAAGCCTTACTTCCTGTAAAGCATTTTTTAATGTTACCCAGCACAGCTGCAAAGCCATTTGTGACTTTTGGATACAGCCATATTGCCAACAAATTCTAAAGCCTCAGCTGCTTACAGAAGAATTATGGAATTTAAGCTGGTCTTCTTGCAAGTACCGGACTTCCTTGAACTGTTTTATTCCTAAAAACCAAACACCACCAAAAAATACCCCCCCACACACACAAAAAAAAAAAAAACCAACCAGAAAACCCACACCCTCAAATCTTTCTGCTACATATTAAAGACGCTGCTAGAACTTATAGTCCATTTAGCTAAATTCAACACAGACTGTTAAAACGTGCCCAGAGAAGCCTAGAAATAGAATTTCTCCTTGCCAAAGGTCCTTTTCTTTCCTTCAAACAACAGAGCTTCCAATTAGTAAGCTATGACAACACCATAAAGATGAGATCAGCAGGTGAATAAACCAAGTTCCCAAGACCCTTTCAGAATTAATAACTAAATAATAATCCTTCCAATCATAGACAATAGATAAAGGAGCATGTCTCAACAGATCTGAGTAAGTTACTATGAAAATAACTGATCTGATTTTTTGAATTGTAACAAGATAATACTTTTAACACAAAGCCAGTCTGAAGTCCACTCTCCTTTCCCTTTTTCTCCTTCAAGAGTTACAGCTGTTCTACCAGTAGCAATTAAGTCCCTGGGGAAGCCCCAGAAGATAGAGCAAAAGATGTTGATAGTTAGAAAAAGTACAAATAGCTGTTTCTTCCAGGGGCTGAATCCTGAAATATTGTTCCCACTGAGAAGACCTTAAAAAAGAAGCGAATTTAAATACAAGGCTTACTTACCAGTTAGCAAATTGTATGGTCAGAAAAAATTGTCTTATTTACCACTTCTACAAAGTACTTTCACTGATGGACAGAGAAAAATAATACGCAAACCAGCAATAATGTCCTTTTAACAAATATGATAGTTTTATCACGTTCTAAGAATTTACCTTAGTTCTGAGAGCTCTGGAAACGTATCAGGGACATCAGGCATCTTGTAAGTAAATCCATTCTGGCCAACCTAAATAGAAGTTTAGGAATGCTTAGCAAATCTTTGACCAGCAACTTCTTGACAATTCAAGCGTGTAAATGAATATCTGCCACAGTAAAAACAAAGTAGTAAGTAGCTATAGCACTAGTCTCCAAATAAAAAAAGGATGACACAATTACAGCAACAAAAATACCTGAGGACATTTGAGGTGGCATGTCACAAAAGAGTACTCAAATTTGGAGGAAAGTAACTCCGTCTTGCTAAGCCCTCCATTTAAGATCAGTTAAATAAGGCGAGATAGACACAGGAGGAGTAATTCAGAAAAATAAGTACAGAACTAAAAAACAGAAATGTTCATATCTCATAAGTGGTGTTTACAGCTATAACCCTCAGAAAAAAGTATCTAGAGAAGAAAAATATCTGTCCTCATAGAAGGTAAAAAGTGTCAGTTCTACCATATGAACAAAACGTGCCTTCTGAGATTAAAAAAGCTTTGGTATCTAAAGACATAATTTTAACCTCATCATGAAAGAAATATGAAACATTGAGATATCTAAGTTTATTGGAAGACATTCAAAAAGCTGTCTTCTAGAGCACAGAGCAAGAGGAATGTGTGAGGGTGTGTGTTTTGGGGAAGCGAGTACACATACACACACTCAAGCTCCATGAAGATAAGCTATTTGAACCAAGTGAAAATGAGAAAAATATCCTACATTTAAAGACTGGAGACAATCTACCAATCTCACCTGATACATTCTACCCAAGAAATCCTGTATAGAAGAGTTTTTCCAGTTTCCCTAGTTGTAAAAACAGTCACTTTATACTTAAAAATATAGTGCAGCTGAAAAGAAATATATAACTAAAATATTTAGCACAAAGTCTAGTCACTGAAACTCAGAAAAGACAAACTTGCTGCTCTGGCTTCAACGTTGTTTTCAAAACCTTTTCATCACAACCAAAATGACAGTTTCATTTTCCTAGCACCAGCAAACCAACTAAGTACAGCAACTTAGATTGCTCCCCTGAGTTTGTAGCCTTGCCCTGTCTGCCTTTAAGGGGACTTACAGCCAGTATCGGACAATTTGAGCAACAAACCTCACAGCGCACAAACCTGAAGTGCTGCTTCCGCTGTTGGAACAGGCAGCGGCAAATCAGCAATCAAGCCATAAGAGGGAGCAGCAGGCTTATCCGCAGCGTAACTTGAAGGAACTGATTCAGCAACTGGCACAGGGGCTATAGTTCTATTTGTTTCTTGAGGTGGATACGGAGGAAGAAATGGAAACGCCTGAGGAGCATACGGAGGCATTCCAGCTGGTTTGCTGTAAAGGCTAAAAACAGAGACAGCACGTTTCTTATCATTTCAGTTATAATTACTAGAGCATGTACAAGAGAGAATAATACTGAACTTTTAAATGAGAACAAAAATTTTTATCATCTTCTACTTGTGACATACAAAGTTCGCTTTACATATTATAGTGCTCTACAGTTATACAAGTCAGTTAAGCTACATGCTTATAAAACAACCAAAAAACCAATTGCTCTTTAGTTGTTAGAGATTAAATCAGAAGCATATTCAGAAATCTGCTTCTCAAAAATTTATGAGGGCATAAATTCAAATTGTTTCCATCTAGAAGTCCTAAGAAATGGATCTGTGTTATTCATTCTCATTTACAGTATAGCATTTAATGGCTTTGGCAACACATATGTAAGTACTTTTAAACAACATGAATGATTTTTTAAATCCACAATTGTAATGTAAAACATCACAACCTTGTCTGTACAACTATACTACTCATGGCTGAATATCCCAGGCTAGCCTTACATATTTAATCCAATCATCTTTTAAATTCACATCTGTGCAAAAAAAAAAAAAAAAAAACGTACTTCCTAGCCTGGGAGATTATGAACAGAATATGGGGAAAAAAAACCCAACTGCTCACATCATGTTCTATAGAGAAGTCAAGATTTCATCTGATAACGTAAACATTTGTACATTTTCAAGAAATTAAACGATGTAAAATGATATTAGCATGCTGATAAAATAAATCCAACACAATTTAGTGCGGCTTCATAAAACAATCATGTAATCGAGCATGCATATCAATTTGCAAAAGGCAGGGGCAGGGGTGTTGCAAGTCTCCCAATAAATCCACTACATTATTTCATTTTCCCCATGCCTTAATGCCTTGTTTAATCTTTACAGTTTTTAAAATAATATCGTTAATATAGTTCCATTAGGTTTATAAACACCTACTATGGAAATGATGTTGAGCTAGGAGCCAAAACTGGTGGATTCTTCCAAAACTCATCCAATAAACTTTGAATAATTTTTCCAAGGTCCGAGTGCATTGTAAACTGGTTAAAAACAAAATTAAAGCTAAATGCAGAAGAAAAATTATTTCCGAAATCCAACACCTCTGAAACATGCTGAACATGACCATTTATTACACCCACATGGCAGTGCTGTAAATGATTTCTGAGACATATCAGCAAATGTAAACTTGCATACACCAGCTCCGAATACTTTAGAAACTTTGTTCCTTTAAGTGCTAAAGCCACCCAGAACTGAACAGAACCTAAGACTTTTTGAATATGCCATTATAAATGGAGAATCAATTAGGCATGCCATCTCTGACAAACAAAAAAAACCCTTTAGCTACAAAGCTACATTTGAAAAAAAAAAAATCAATCAAGATTTAAATTTGAGACAAAAAGCACTACTAATTGCATTCGGAAAAAAGTCATTCTAAAAGACACATCTGTGTTGGCAAAGAAAATAAATGAAAAACACATTAAAATACTGCACATTAGAACTAAGACCTTCGTATTTTTCTATCAGAACTCACGCAGAAAGAATTAGGCTGCAGAACTGTCTTAAAATATCTTCCTCCTTTACTTGGAATATACTGTAGAGAAACAAGATCTGTGCTACCTGTCCTATGAAGGAAACTGACAGTAACTTTCTAACCCATCATTACTTCAAACAGTTTTAGATATACTAAATACTGAATTCAGTAGTAGTAGTAGTAAGAGGAAAAGTAGTAGTATACTGAATATTACTGAATTTTTGTTTTCAGATCAAAAAATTTTGAAAGGGATTAGGATGCGAGCAAGTCTTTTTGCCAGAAGAACTGGAAATAACCTAACATGACATGCATTAAAATTGCTAGTTAATAGCAGACATATGTAAAGCTACCAATTATACATACATTACTTATTAATGGACAGGTCACATATACACCCTGCTTGTCCATTAAATGATGTCTCACAGGTGGGAAAACACTGATGACTGGTTTTTCCTGCGGAAATTGAGGCGGCAGCAAGCTGTAAATATAAAAATAACCATTACTACAGCCATACCCCATAATAAAGTTTGCTTTAAGATGACTTCTTATACAAAGAAAACACACTATTAATTACATAAGCTTACTTTTCTATGAAAATTGTTATGGAGAAATATAGCGTGAACCACACAAGAGAATTACTCAGTTACAAAATTAGTAATAATGCCACTTTAGTGGGATTAGACTTAGGCTTCCATGGAGCTGAAAAGGGTATTTGCTACGGAAAAGGCCTGGATAACAATGAAACAATTATGTCCATAGACAAAGCAAAAGTAGTAATGTGTTGGGGATATCTCATAATACAAGAATTCTCTAATAATTAATAACTTTCTAACAAAGACAATGCAGTATGACCTGTAAGAATATCAGGCAACACATCAGAAACTTGAGGCTAAAGTAATAAAATCTTGTGAATAGGATACCTTGACCATTTGCCAGCATAAAGAATGAAAGCACCCCAAAAAATATGTAAATTCAGAAGAAATGTTACCATAAATCAATTTTAATTTATGATCTAAAAGATCATACTTACTGAGGAAAGAGTAAATACTAGGAGCTAGCAGCAGATTAGTAAGCTATTGTTTAAACTTGCTTTTACTAGCAGGGGACTCAGACATCAGAAATGCTTAGTTTTATGCTACTTAGCTTTGACTAAAACATGCAGGATCTCTTAGAAATTGAGTATGGGGAAAAATCAGTTACGCTTCGAGTTGAGCCTCTGCATCGTGAATGCAACTAGTTTCACTCAAGTCACTACAGCTACTAATGCAAGTGAAGTTTATGAAAAACAGTTATGAGATGGGAGCCATTTACATTCTACCACTACTTTTTGTGAGAAAAAAAATAACGTTCAGGACGCACATAGAAGCGCTCTACTTACATATTAATATTAATTGTCAAGTTTTTTACAGTGAACGGCAGTCGATATTCCACATCTTTCTGAATTTCTGCAATGCTGTCAAACAACAAAGAAACCGTTAGCATTTGACTCATGGTCAATATAACAGTCTTTGTACCTACAACCTAAAAGGCATTAGCTCAGACATTCTTTTCATTTAGTTTTCTTAAACTTATTTAAGAAGAAAATTGAAATCACTTGAGCAAGTTAACGTGCTTTAAGTTAACCTCAAATTTAATTTTCAACGTAAGTTTTAAGAAATGAAAACCAATCATCACACAATTTGTGACCACATTTGCTTTAGTATGTAGGGTAGGACACTGATTCAGTGTCTAAATTTCTGATTGGTGTTCCTGCAGTCTTAACTGAGGAAGCATTTAATACATGTACTTACTGCTGTTTTTCTGCCAGAAATTACATGCTGTGGGTTTATCATAAGATGACTTTATTGTAAACAGCTTTTTGCTGAATAAGACATGAATTCTTTTAACCAATCTTGCTACAGCATATTTAAAAGTATCGTCCTTTGTACACATAAACAGACACCATACCACTTTTGCCAGGAAAATTATTTAGCATATAAACAAAAAAAGAACACTTTCAAATCAGCAACTACATCAAAACTTCACGCCTTATTTTAGTAAGGTTATTGTGATCACCAATACAGTGAATACCTTTCCTGTTGTTGTACTGCTATTTATGCAGTAAGATACTTCCTTTTCAATTGCTGCACTGGTTGCAATTTAGACAAACACACTGCTGCCCAAAAACCGTAAAAATTGGCCAGACAAGTTCATTGTTGCAGAAGTGCCACAGAAGCTTGTAGAAGCTATTAAAAAAAAAAAAATCCACAACACAACCAAAACCGTATCTATACACTTAGACCTTTCCTTCCTATGACCATCGTGACAACTATGAGACAGCCAGCATTTCACCAATTTTAACTTTACTACATAATACACAGATGTAAAGTATGTTCTGAATTACACTATGGTATCTTGACCTCTTCCTTATTGTTGACTTCCCAGCCATTCCATCCCTTCAACCCACTCAAAATGCCAAGAAAGTCACTATCACCCATTAGTTTTGTTATACTTAATTCCTTTTTGATTCCTCCACAGATTTCCATTTACTATTCCAAAGTCAGGTTTCCTCCTACCTTCCAACCTGTGCAAAGCTTCACTTCCGTTTTGTAATGCTTTGTGTTACCAGCTGATCTGCCAACACTCCCAACTTATTTTCCCCCATCTACTGGCTTATTATAAGACATCACATCACTGCTTTCTTCTAAACTGATTTTTATCCTAAAAAAAAAAAAAATTACCTTTGCAAGGCTTTACACCTGGTTCACATTTAAGTACCACTCTGCTATGCTGCCTACAAATAAATATTTAAGGCATACATTACAGGAGACCTGCTTGCTTACCATTTGAGTCATTTTTTTCCACATGCACTGAGTTCTATGCATTTACACAGATATTTTCAATAGCATTCCTCTGAAAAGCTACTTGCAGAAATTTAAAGCTCTATAAGCCAAGGACACTCAAGACATAGCCCTCCTGATAGCACTGAGTGAGAAAACATATATCTTGTGAAAATATTAAGAAAATGAATGCAAATTGGCTCCTCTGTAACAGACCAGTTACTCAGAAACTCTTCAGAAACAGCTGCTTTAATAAGAAGTTGATTTCAGCATTCAAAGTAGTCTACAATTTGTATGCAGAGCAAGACTGCTTTGAAAGATAGCATTCCAATGAACGCAGAGGAGGAAAAGAAGAAGGAGGTGTAAACTTAGCTCAGAAGCAACAGTTCCAAACAGCATAAACATACCTAGGCTGGTACTGGGAGAGAAAAAAGGTCAGAAAAATCAGCTTCATCTTATAACACCTCAGTTAAAAGAAGCTACTCTATACCTCTGCAGATCTCTTACATGCAGGGGAGGGGGAAGGAAATTAAGCTTAAAAAGCAGGCTGATTCCTCTTCTGTCTGCACCTGGTTACTAATGCTACCCTCTCCCTCACCCTCCTAAGGGGACCAAACATAGCTAGAACTGGTAATAGTGACCACTGGCTGTTCCCAGAAAGCCTCTTTGCACCCATCTTTGGAAATGTCCCTGTCCCTCCCCCACCTCCATACTATTACTTGCTTTTAAAAAAAAAGTTCAGTGTAGGAGTGTTTCGTACCCTTCTGAAGTGTTATGCGCACATACAACTTAAAACTCTAGTTTTTAGAATTTCAGGTATAAATGGAGAAAGACAGGAATAAATACTAGAGTGATATTTATTTAATCATTACTTATGAAAGAAACCTTGTTGCATTCCTATTCATCTGTGCTGCTCTGGAGAGCACAAGCAAGCACATCAGTTCCACCCAAAAAACCTTTCCACTTTTGAGAACTTGGACCTGTACACATTCCTTTTTAAAACACGGAATATGAGGAACACTTAGGCAGATTTATTCAGTAATAAGTCTCCCTTCACCAAAATTTTAAGCTTTACCAAAAAGTATTCTTTCATTTGCCTATTTTTTTGCTTTTTTGCCTATCCTTAAGAGGGACGATGTAGGCTAGTTCACATTGCTGAAAAGTTGTGGTTGAGCAACTATCCTTCTCTGGGAAGGACAAAGGTTGGAGGGTTTCAGGCTGGAGGCCCGTGTGTATGCTGTGTGTATGCTGACCCTGGTGTCTGCAGAACTGGGTAGTAAACCAGTTCAGGGAGCTGACCTGGAGAGAGCAGGGGGAAACAAAAAAATCCACATCTTTGAGGACTTAAAGTCCCTGGTACAAAGAAAAAGATAAAAACAAAAGGCAAAGATCTGGCCAACAGAAACTTCCAGTTAGATAAGCTTAAGCTGCTGTACACCCAAATAGAGAGCTTTTAAAATAAAAATATTTGTGAAAGTTTGGTTCTGAACAGATTTATGTTTGAACAGCCAACAATAACAAACTACACCTTCACATCTACGTTTCTTACATGCTAATTCTAAATATTAAGACAGCAATTGGTTTGCAGCTATTACACTTGGCTCTTGACTACTCTCAAGGCTGTCAATCAGTTTCCCTCCTGCTGCTGGCCTCAGCCTGACACAGCAAGAAACATTCTCTTTTCTTTTTCCTGACGGTTTTTGGAGGCATCTCAGCCATTCCACTTCAACAGTGGTTTGAACACCCCAGGAAGCATGATGACTGCTTACATGTTCACTAAAAACACCATTTACACGTATCATGGGAACTGGCCCTCGTTTAAATCTAACTGAAAAGGAGATCCACAATTCAAATGATTCAAGAGATGAACACTTTAAACAAATAAGAAGAGAAAAAGTTAGGCAGGTCAGATCAGCATGCAGCCAGCTAGAGTCTGTCAGGTATTTTTGTGCAAAAAGTGTGGTGGTAGAGCATGGTGGGAGGGAGAAGGCCCTACCCGATATCTGTAGAACAAATACACAGTCAGGCACTAGTAAATCAGCACCCTATGTCGGAAAACTAGTCACGGAGCCGGAGTGCTACTGTGCCAGAGCTGCTTACACCACGGCGACTGCAGGCTCCCGCATACGCCCAGTTTCACTCTTCTGCGTCCTGACTTTGGAGAAACCACGCTGTTTCTAGGTGTAGGGCTTGATCCTGACACCCACAACTCGTGTCCCTTCCCAGGCTTTCAGGCCTGACGCCAGGGAGCCGCTGGGCCAGGC